AGAGAGAGACTTCTGTATCAGAGTCAGCAAACCATAGCTCCAGGGCCCCCCAGCGAGCCACTGTCTGTGCTCACAAAGTTCTGTTGGAAGCCGGCCACACCTATCCCTGCAACTGAGCACCTTCGGCTGTGTCACACCACACAGGAACTTCAGAAAGCTCATGGGAAGATTCCGTGTTCTTTCCGTTCCATTTCTCCCCGAAGTTTCTGAAGCACCTCGAGTGACGGCAGGAGTGGAGAGTCCTTGCGCTGGAGACTCCGTGGCCCGCCCGCAAAGTCCAAATCCTCGACTAGCTGGCCCTTCCCAGACAAGCGTGGTCCAGTTCTGTATACTGCGGGGCGTGAGGATTCCGCGGGCATCAAATTCTCCGTGAAAACACGTGGGTGCGCTACTGTATTTAAATGATAGCTCAACGAAAGTCTCTGAAAAAATCCAATTTTTTTTTAAAAGGCTCTTTTACTTGTGCTTCTGGCTAACTATATTGCTGATATCCATTTGGGAAGACTTTGCCATTTGTATTTCTCTTGTCTGATCAGACAGAGACAACAAGCAGGAACTGCCCTACAGAGCAACGGAAAGCGTGTCCCAGCCTTCCTCAAGGACGTGCCATGGCTGTAGCATCCCCGAGGGCCATTCATACAGAAGACGGAGTTGAAGGAGAGCTGCAGTTCCAGGCGGCCACGAAGGAAAGGTCTATGCAGCCCACGTGATGCCCGGGTATCACAGATCTGGAGGTCATTTTAGGATATAGCTTAGGAGAGCAACACGCTTAGTTCGTATTGAAAGACTGTAGTTACTCAGGGAGAACACGTTTTAATTTCCAGGGGGCACATAATTCTATGCTAACAATCACCCTGCATTCAAGCCTTACACTGGAGGAGGGGTAATGGCCTACCACGAAGGTGCCCAATTGGCACAGGCAGTGGCAAAAGCAGCCGGCTGGCAGCTAGAAAGTGGGCAGCTCTAACCGGCCAGCAGCTTCACACAAGCCCCGGTGATCTGCCCTCACCAAGACTTTTGTTCTGTGGTTGTGAGGTGCCACCGAGTCACAGCGACCCTGAGAGACCCCGTGCACAAACAGGACACACTGTCAGGTGCTGCGCCATCTTCGCCACCCTGGCGACACACTGTCAGGTGCTGCGCCATCTTCGCCACCCTGGCGATGTTTACATGGGTCCTCACAGCCATCTTCTAGGGGAGCTGGCCCTCACGCGTTCATTGGCCCTCACTTTAGCAAGCATGAGGTCTTCCCCTCAAGGGCTGGCCCCTCCTGATAAAGTGTCTCAAGGACAAGAGGCAAAGAATCTCCCCATCTCTGCTCCTAAGGAGCATCCAGACAGATTATAGCCTTAGAAACCCTGTGGGGCAGTTCTATGACCTCGGGTCACTAGGAGTCAGAATCAAGTTGATGGCACACAGCTCTAAACCAGACCAGGGCCACCTTCCCCTCGAGCCCCGGGGAGCTGCACCTGAGTACCCTCGGCCTTGGGAACCGCTCTAGTTTGCCTGAGGGCTCCTCCTTGCTCCACTGTGCTTCTTGGTTGGGTTGGGTTTTCACCGCGCCCTCTTTGATGACCCAACTTAAGTGACAACTAGGTGGCACTTGGCATCGCCTCATTCTGGCCTGGTTGGGGTGGGGGCGGGGCTGGGGGGAGGCAGGAACAGTGAAGGCATGCCGGTGCTGGGGCGCTAATCAAATGTCCCTCTGTTTGCCCACATGGGCATCAAGCCTTAGCAAATAGACACAGGGAGAACAATACTACCTGTTCATGGAGGAAGAGGAATGGTTTCAGTCCCCCCAAACAATGAACGCTGTAATTGACTCCATCTTCCTCCTGAGAAAGCCTTCACAGGACCTGCCCCGTGCCAGGTGGTTTGGAGACAGGCAAACTGCTCGGCCTAACAAGGGGCGCTTCAGCTACGGTGCAAAGAAACAACAGCTAGGCTGGTCCCCACTACGGCTCTCCCAGTGATGTGGCCCCAGCCAGCCTTTCCACAGCGAGATAGGGATCACGAGGCTATTCAAGCCCAACAATTCCCACACCCCGGGTAGCAGGGTTTTCCAGAATTCCCCAAGGAGGAGGAGGAGGCCTCGGGTCATTGTCTCTGCCAGCCAGGCTTAGGACTTAGGCTTACTCTCTACCGAAGCTCCAAGCCCAAACTATCTGCTGGGAGCCAGGCTTACGGTGCCTTGGATCAATAGAAGAAGGGTCTGTCGGGAAAGGTGCCCGCAAGGCCAAAGGCAGCAGCTAGTTAAAGACACACAGTCTCGAACATGTTTGAGGGCGGAGAGGCAAAAGAGTCCCAATTTCCCCTACGAGATGCACATGCCCACGCACACCAACACGATTATGGGGGCCTTGCAAGGAGAACAAGCTACTATCACCAAATAAAAATGGCAGCTGACTTAATTACTTCTCAAAACATGGAGTCATGGACAAGTCCACCTGGGGCAAGTGGCTATTGGAAGGTCTCAGCAGGAAAAATGCAGATTTGAAAAGGCCCGGTGACATGGATGCAGCATGACAATAGTGCTAAGGCCACACGCAAACACGGTAGTCTAGGTAAGGGAGCCCCATAGGGGAAGCACGGGGTGGGTGGGGGGAGGGGTGGATCTAAGGAGCCCACATCACCCTATAAGGGAAGGCTCTAGAGTCAGACTTGAACGGCCCAGCACAGAGGCTTTTAAGAGCCTCCCTCCCTTCCAAGGGTCAAAGCAGAACGCTGTAGTGTGGGTGCCATTTGTTACACCAGAGGACCCTCCCACCCTCTCTCAGCCAGGCAGGCATGAACATCGTGTTCGTCTGCCCTCTCTCCACGACGGCATTCTGCTGGCATCGGGCTCAGCTCTGAGTCCACATTAGTCTGTGATTTGTTTAGCTGTCCTACGCGAGCAGGAAACAGGACACTCATCAGAAGCTAAGATCTGTCGCCTTTCCTTCCAGCAAGTGTCACATAGCAACAGGCCCCAGAGAAATCAGACATGTCAGGACAATCAGGGCAAAAGTGATATTCTTAGTTTCATGGCAAGGTTCAGAGCACCAACGGCCCCAAGGTGGAAGCGACCCAGTGTCCCCCAACAGGTAGGTGACTGGGCAAACACATCGCGGCACGCCCATGCAATGCCACGTGGAGGCACCTTGTAGCCCTCTGCATCATGCGGCGGCCAGCCACCCACGGCCCCGCGAGGCCAGACTCCACGGACACCTAAGAGAGGCCACAGCATAGGGCAGAAGGCAGCTTCCAGGCTTCCACAGGGGCGAGAACAGGGACATGCTGCAGAGTGGCGGTGGCGTTTCTGTGGGGGGGTGATGGAGACCCTTTAGGTCACACTGGTGGTGATTCACCGAACCACTTGTGGAATCCATGCCACCTTTCAAGGACATTTAAAAAACGGTAACATTGACAAATAGTATGCTGTATACATTTGACCACAAATGTGCTCTCTCTCTCTCTCTCTCTCTCTCTCTCTTTTTTAAGTGATATTCTCAGCATCAGTTGACATGAATTTGATCCGCCACAAACAACCCTGGCTGTCACACAGCCTCGTCTCCCATCACAGGTCACCATCACCCCCCCCCCATCCCCCACCTCCCCACATCAATTCTTCCTGTACAATCTTGGGTCACCCGATTTTGCTTCCAAGGCCAGATCCCTAGTGGCCACACGGGGGTCTGTGGGCCCATCCAGCCCGATGCAGAAACAGTCCCGTCAACCAGGGCTTCTCTTCCCTCCCTCCTTTTAATCATTTCAGCCACATTTCATTGCTTCCCACCTCCCTCCAGGAGTCAACCACCGCCACTACCATCACCATCCTGGTCATCACCATCTAGGCTTGAGGGGGTGGGGGTGGGGGGTAGGGGAGGCAGGAAGGGTCGAACAAGAAAAGGCACAAGAGACCTCCATCATGAGAATTCAAGCTTCAGGAACCCCTGAGAGGCCTACCTGAATTGCAATCTGGTGTTCGATCGCTTTGTACGCAGAGTAATGCGTGCTCCCGGACTGAAAATGGAGCTGTAGAAAGAAACCAAATCAAAGCGGTCTGCTTGTGTCACAAACTACAGCCAGACAACATCTTAACAGCAGTTTCTGAACAGCAGACAAACCTTCCCAGACTGAGCTGCAGACTTGGCGCTCAGTCAAGACCTGCGTCTTTCTTATTTGTTGCTATGGATAAGATGATCTTAATCATCTAAGGTACAGTTTAGATTTGGAAAAATAATAATAATAATAAGGAAGAAGCACCTATTCAGTAAGCAAAACAATAAAGGGGTGGGAGGTGGGTAGGGGTGGCCAGGAGTGAGACTCAAATGAGGAGAGAGAAAGACGGATGCCCATTAAGACACAAAGGAGGCCAGGGGGTGAGCAGAGTGCTGAAGGGAATCAACTGTGAGCTGCAGAATGGAGGCAGAGCATGACAGGGAGCGGGCAGGGGCTGGGGGGGCGGGGAGGGGGGGGAAGGTTGGCAGAGGTGAGGGTGTGAGACGCCACAAGACTGCAACAGGTAACAAGCTTCCACGTTTCAAACGCTCAGGCCCTGGCCCTCAAACACAATTCCATTTCTGGGAAAACAAATGTGTGTTGGACAGAATTCAGAGGCCACGCCAAGCCTTATACATTCCTTCAAGATGACTACCCTGTTCGTCCCAGGAGGTCTTCCGGACTGCACTCTGGTAATCCAACCGTACCCCACCCTGACACACACACACACACACACACACACACACACACACACACACGATTGTGCAGGTGCCGGATCCCAGGAACCCTAGAGGACAGAGTGGAACTGCCCCAGCGTTCCCCGGACAGAACACTTTCCTGAACCCGACCACCACATCTTTCTCCCAGGGAATGGGAATTTGAGCCATCAACCTTTCCCGTTAGCAACCATGTGCTTAACCACTGTGCCACCGGAGTCCACAACGGCCAAAGAGCCTCACGAGTTTTCTAAAGACCTCACATTGGCTAGCGGCCCTGTGCTACTCAGACCTTGCATGGCACAAGCATGAAGTCCTGCCTGGTCCCCCAGACCACCCAGCAATGAACGGATATCCAAGATGCAAGGGGTGGGCCTAGAGCCGAGTTCTCCTCCCTTGAACCTCATTTCCTAAATGAACCCCCTCTATCTTGGGGTCCTACCAAGGGAGTGAAGCAAACACCATCAGACAACGTTTTGTGCAAACCAAGCAATAATCAAGAACGAACCTCAGCGAGATCTGAAAATACACGTGAGCCTGCCACTTCCACACAGGTGGTGAAGAACGGTGACATCACTGCCAGTCCCTCCTGGTGAAGACAGTGGGCAAACCAGGGACCCACACTACAGCGAGGAATGATGACTACCGCTCCTGATGCGCATACTGTCGCTACGCGACTCTTAACAATTGTGAATGACTGCCCAAGCATCATTTAGGCTTCAAGTGAATTCTAGACCCAATTAGGATGTACCTTGATAGTCATTGTTTTTTCAAAATCCACCCTAAGAACTTTTAAACCAAGTCAAAATAAACTCAGCCCAGTAAACTCGCAGTAAACACAGTTAAAACTCAAATAGAAATTCTGCGTGTGATAAAGCCATACAGGTCCATTGTAGGGTACAGTGGATTCTGTGATTTCTATCTGTTCTACCTAAACAGATGAGATTCGGAATGTTCATGACAAAGGAATTGCGAGAGTTTCCCCACAAACACGCTGAAGCCCTCCCATAGGAATGTTGTGTGGATCCGCCAGCCCCCAACCAAAGAGAATGTTTCCAAGTTTAAGGAACAACAGAAGTGGACAAAAGAAAAGAAAAGAAAAGGGGGGGGGGGGGTGTTATCCCTCTACCATAGCAAAGTGTCAAACCACTCCCCTAAAACAGCAACCACAACAAAGAAATGAACATTGAGCAACAGAAGGTGTGCCTCCCCAAGCAAGCAAGCAAGCAAGCAAGCGCGCACACACACACACACACACACACACATCCGAAAAAGCAGCTCAGCTCAAGGGAACTAACTGCTGGGAAAAGGACGATGAATTTGAACCCTTTGTCTCCCTGACTTGTCTGAAGAAAAAAAACCTGCCAGTCCATAAACGGAGACTGCTCTAATGACTGTGACAGGTCTGGGTGGCATTAGACCACTTTGGGGCTGGGAACAGGTCAATGGCGAGTTTGGAATTCTTGGCTGGCCAGCAGCGCTTGTCTGAGGACCGCTCTCCTGCCACCCGGCCGGAGAGGCCACATGACCAAGCCAGCCATCCTTTCCGGCCAGGCCATTCTCTGCTTCTCCAAATACTTGTGCAGAGCTGCTGGGAAAACGGTCCAAGTGTTTCTTCCCACAAACCCTGCGCAGCCCGAGGCAATCTGTGCTCAGGGAAACCACAGGAATCTAGATCGTCAATTAAAATTGAGTGGACCTATGATAACTAAGTATCTGTTTTAGTTGGGGGGGAGGAACCGACAAAAACATAGAATCATAGTTTTATGAATAAATGAATACAACTGTAACTAATGCCAATTCCATTTTCACTCCCCCAGTTCCATTCTTATGCCTGAGGTTCCTTCATCACTAGCTAACCACCACCATAACCCAGGGAACAGAAGGTTGCACTTAAGACAGTAACAAGGTAGCAAAGAGAGCCTTCAGAATCTAGCAGAGAAACCAACCTACCAGACAACCTTAATGTCACACATTGTAGCACCTCCCAAACAAGTACCTAACCCAAGGATACTGTAGCACAAGACCCTCCTTGAGCCCGAAGGCCAATCTGTAACTCCCAGCCAGGAACTATTGGAGAGAGCCTGTCCGAGCCAAACCCCCCTCAGCTACAGCCGTGTGGACTTGAGCCTGTGCTTCTTTCCCCTTGGGGTTTGCATCCTCCCTTTTTCGAGAGCACACACTTTAACTGATTTTTTCCCTTCCCTGTAAAAACACAAAAATGCCTTGTCTGCCGGAACCTTGCTTTATAAGACAATGAAAAAAACACAAGGGCCCGGTACAGACCTGCACTTGAAAGTGGAGCCATCATTTAGGCCTCTCTGAACAGCTGGAAGGAAGGAGAGGCCCCAGAGATGGTTGGCCCTCTATTTTCTTGGACAATCTGGGGAGTTTAGGGGGCCCACAAGCGAGACGCAAGACAGCCAGCAAAGGCTGAGGCCTGAGTTTAAGAACCAGGCTTCCACACCTGCTCTGGGGACCTCAAGGACCCATGGCCCTTCCTGATCTCGCCAAGCAAGGTGGACAGCACACCCTCTTCCAGTGGATGCTCCCCTCCCTTGGGTGTCATAAAGAGTTCCCAAAATCCACCTGGGAGGAACTAACTGAACTGTCATTCCTTCCCAGAAACTCCCAACGTATGCGGGGCGCTTTCTTACCATGGCCGAGCCCACCCCTCCATTCCAAACACCCTCCCCGCAAGTGCCCTTGGCAAGAACCAAACCACAGCTGTGCTGGAGTTGAGCTTTTTTGAGAAAAAATATGATCTAACAATCCTCCCAAATACAAAGAGTTTGGCACAATTCTCCGGCAACTTAAACACCAGTATTTTTATGATGCACCACTTCCTTTATTACTATCTTATCTTGATTTCTCTTGTCATATTTCTCATCTGGCTCTGAATCGCATGTGTCGGATCCAAGACAAGGGCACTGTGCGGAGAAGGGAGGAAGGGGAACCACAGAACTCTCATCCTCAAAATGGACTGAAAAAAAAAGTCGAAACCCTTCATTGGTTTTTTCCAGCACGAAGTTAACTTCCAACAGGACCATGAAGGTTCATGTTCAATGCCTGCTTGTTCACTACATTTGGGAGAGGTGGAGCCCTAGCTTTTATTCTGTTCTACGAATCATGGGACTTTCTCTTTTATTAAAAAATAATAATAATAACATTCATTTCTGAGAGGCGGGTGGAGTTTTGGAATCCACTTTCCTCCTCTCTCTCCCGGTGGTACTTTGGGCTGGGGGGGGAGGGGGGGGGCTGCAGCTAACTTCAAGTTCTGCAGTTCAAAACCACCAGCTGCTCCCTGGGATAAAGATGAGGCTGCCTGCTTCCCGTAAGATGTACAGCTTCAGAAACCTTATCTAAGGTCGCTAGGAGTCCGTCAGAACTGACTTGATACCAGTGGGGTTTTAGTTCCCTTTCATTTTTATGTCACTTGGCTAAGAGATGAACACTTTTTGGTCCATCTCAAGACTTGCTGGTAGGTGTCCCTCCCCCCCTTCCCCCCCTGCAGTCCCTCATCAGGGCAAAGGTAAACAGTCTAACCACTATGGCCACAGTGCCCCAGTCCTATATAGGATGGTTGCTCTTATATGTAATAGAAAATTAACTTTTGACCAGCATCTAGGGTTCTTGCTTGCCCTTTCAAAAAAATGTGCCCCCCCCCCAGTAGGTTATGGGGCACAGGCCTCTAAACTTGCTCAGGGGGAAGTAAAACCTGAGGAGTGGTCCGCACTCCTGCAGAGAGCTAGACACGAACGCGTGTACCCTCCTCAAACAATAACCTGACAAAGGCCTCTCTCCCCTTTGCAGTTCTCCCAGAATATTCTCCACAGCAAAATGCTGGCCTCTGGCCGCAGGAACGATCTCTCCCACTGTCTCCAGTTCCATCAAATGTCTCTTTACCCTCATTAATACTTTCTTTTCTTTTCCTCAACCTGAAAGTCTCAGCTATGAGTCAGACGGCGATCATTAACTTTTACAGCTTCCACACACACGCACACCTACTCACATTTGGGGAAAGAAGTATTGACTTGCAACATTGCCTGAGACCAAAATCCTCTAAGAAGGGGGAAAAAAAAGGGCGGGGGGAATCGCTTGGAGAAAGTGCTATCTTAGTCTATAGAGGGATGCTACAATCATTGTTTTTCCACTCTGTGCTGCTATCTCTCCGGCCAAATGTTAAAAAAACAAAACACATACACAACAACAGTGGGGTTTGAACGTGGTGGTGATGGCGAGAGGCATTGCTGGGTGGGTTTCGGAGCAAAACGAGCTTTCCTTTAAAGATCAAAACCTTCCGTGATAAAG